CCCCAAAACCCCAAAACCCCAAAACCCCAAAACCCCAAAACCCCATTTTGAGAGATTTGTGTAGAAATTTGATAATAAATAATTTTAATAATGGAAGTCATCTGTCAAGAGTGTAAGAAAGTCCTAAAATCAACAGCAAAAGGCGAAGATCTCTCGTAAATAATAAACTAAACATTATAGGGTCTATTCAATTTCTCGAGAGATCTACAATCCCACCATTGGTTCCATTGCTTCATCGATTAACATAAAATTGAAGGAAGAGAGCGATATTACTGAAAGTTTAAAGGAAGGAGAGAGCCGACTGAGCAACTACAGGGATTGTGACCTAGCCGAAAGTTATAATTTCTGACAAGCTTGTTACTACAAGTATTTTCCATCCTTAATTATAGACTCCTGCTCACATTTGAGAGTGCCACTCATCTACTAGAAAAGGAACGGGATATATACATGGAGAATCTCCAAAAAGTCCAGCAAGAGAAGTCCAAGATTGATGCTGAGAAGGATGAGAACCAAGAGAAAGTACTTACAACGAAGAAGGAAGAGCTAGAATCCGAACTTGCGGCTCTTATCGAAGAAGAGAAGATCCTGGATGAGGAAACCAAGCAACTTGAAGAAGAAGAGGCTGCTATTACTGTTAAGGAGCAAGAATATTGGGAGAAAGAGAATGAATATGAGTATAAACTCAAAAATCACCTTGAGAGTAATGCACAGATGAAGAATCAATGGAAGAGTCACTTCTCAGGCCTGACTAAACATTATGATTATTTGAAATAAACTTAATGTCCTTAATGATGTTTTTAGCATCAATATTGAAGGAGAGTTCGGTACTATTAGTGGGTTCAGACTCGGAACTCTTGGCAGTAAAGGGAATGAAGTCGAAAATGAGGAGATAAATGGTGCTATAGGCCAGTGTATCTTACTTGTGTCTACAATCGCTCTTAAAACAGAGTTTACATTCTCTAATATTGATCTAAAGCCAATGGGTTGCTATTCGAAAATATCATACTTGAATGAAGGAGGGAAGAAATGTACCTACTCCTTTTCATTTTATAACAAAACAAGTTTTAACACCGGAATGCAGGTGTTTGTGAAAGCAGTCAATCTTTTGGGACAGCACTTCCAGAAGAAGTTTAACCACATAAAAGGAAAGGTCAAATTGGAGAGCTTCAAAGCTCTCAGTCTGGATCGGTTCAGGTTTAATTCTGACCATCTTGAGGAATGGACAAATGCATGTAAGGAGCTCTTGAAAGTTCTCAAATGGTTCATCTATATGTCCCAAGTTGAGGACAGGATCAGACAGGAGAATACCAAGAATAATTAATTGGATCTCAATTTTATAATCAAAATTAGGGGTTTTGGGGTTTTGGGGTTTTGGGGTTTTGGGG